AAGATAAGAATAAAACTTATTTGCTCTTTCTTCTTGTGTTTCTTCAAAGAGAAATTTTACGGTCTATGTCAACACTTTTTGTCTTCTTACCTGGCAAGCTTTTGCTATTATGTCTGATGGAGTATCTTGTGAAAAAGCTGGTCTCAGTGCAGCTCCCACCTAGAATAGTGAATACAAACATCTTATTTTTAAAGATAAGTAATAATCATAAAGCTTTTTGTCTGGAAATGAAAACACAAAAAAACACTCCTTTCCTTTTATTATCTCACCCTTATCTTTCTTTTCAATTATAATAAACTTTACCATATCATTTTTCTTTTGCTTTCCAGATTATCAGTATCAAATCTATATGAATGCTGTGCCAAATAGGTAATTAATCATGTATCTTTTCCTTGGTTTTTAGTAGTGTACAGGATTTTCTGACAAAAAACAAATCTTACGTTACCAGAGATAACAAAAAATTGCTACTCTAACCTTTACTTTTTGCAGTTTATATTTTTCTGAATATCTTTCTAATAGCATTTAGTTCATGAGTGAATCGCATACAGTTGGCCCAATTCCTTTGGGCTACTAAATTCCTTTAGTAGCACCAATTCCTTTAGTAGCACTAAAACTTCACATAGTCACTACAAGATGCTAGAGATCATGCTTACCTAAAGAAGGATTAATTTAAGAGAAGGTTATTCAAGAAACAAAAATGTATGTACTACTGTGAAAGTATATAACCTTAGATTGAAATATGCCAACTTCAGTCATGGGTTCTTTGTTATACTAGTAGATTTAATATCTATGAACTGACTAAAGGTATAACCCACTGCCATCGAGCTGATTCTGACACATCGGGACCCTATAGGGCAGAGGAGAATGGCTCCATAGAGTTTCCAAGGCAGTTCTGTAAATCTTTAGAGGAACAGACTGCCACATCATTTTTCCTTTGGTGCGTTCCAACTGCTGTTTCTATTAACAGCCGAACACTTAACCACTGAACCACCAGGACTCCCTAATAAAGAATTAGGTGTAATCACCTCCTAAACTGAGACTTCACCCCTTACAATAGTGACACGGTAAAGCAAGGCATACCAACAGAAGAGGAAATGGATCATTTGCTAAAAGCACATGGTGACTAATCCACTATGGGAGCCTGTACTGAAGAAGAAAAAATATAATAGAAGACATCAGGATTATTAACTAAACTTGTATATGGTAGGTTAGGAGTTCTGGTGTGGTTCTGTAGGGTAAGCCCTCGGTCGCAAGATAAGTTTGAACCAAGAGGTTGGCAGTTCAAATTCAACAGCCACTCCTCTGAAACCCTATACAGGGGCGATATGAGTCAGAACCAACTAGACAGCACTTAACAACAATGGTAGATTACATAAAAGGATTTTATCAATGTTGAATTTGCTAAAGTGATAACTGTTCTGTTGTTATTTAAGAGAATAGTCTTGTATCTGGAAATGCAGACTAAAGATTAAAGGTAAAAGTACAATGTTATAGACAGTTTATTCTTAGAAGGCTTAGGGGGAAAAGTGTGTGTGTGCACTTATAAGGGTGTACAGAGAGGGATTATCAATGTTAAAGCACATGGAGCATAAATATCAACTGGTGCATGTGGGGAAAGGGCATAATAGCTCTTTGTAATTATTCTTTCTGCTTCTCTGTAAGTTTGAAATTCTTTCTAAATGAAAAGTTTTTTAAAAAAAGAGTCTCTAATTCTGAGAGATTGGACACTTAAGTGTAAACCACTGTGTAAGAGTTTTCTATAGCCATCTTGGCTGAAACTTACTCACTTGTACTTATGATAAAAAGCAACTGGCTTATGCATTGCCCACATCTTTTCAGTATGTTTAGGACAACTTTCAGATGAGATATAGTGAATCTGGATCCAAGATTTTGGCACAGTACAGTAAAAAATATGAAATAAAGCTTCATTACTCTTTCCTTATGAATATATTTTTTTGCCTTTAAACAATCCTCCATCGCCAGGATTAGCTCTATTGTCTTACCTGAATAACACAAATAGTTGTAAATCCCAGGGGAAACATGCATATTTCAGTTTAGAATGCAATGCAAATCTGTTGAAAGTATCTAATTCTACCATTAAAATTTTAACTGCTATTATTCAAAGTTAATTTACTTTTCAGTATGCTAAGGGCAGCAGCTTTTTTGACTTTTTGAAAATGTTTATCACGTCTTGACATATAAAAATAATAACAGCATACCCACAGCACTGTTTTGAAAGTCCCTTTTATCTTTCAAGTGGCATGGATAACTTGACAAATACAAGACTGGGAGCTAGGCTGGAATTTCTATTCTAGTTTTATCAGTAGCACCCTATCACAATTTAAAAAGCGTGAGAAGCAGTTAACACCACTGTCTCTTCAACTGTGATTTGATGTTAACTGTGTAACAAACAATGCTATCAAACATATGCAATCTATATGAATGAGTAGTTTGCAGTTTCAAATACATTCTTTCTGGGAGCCTTTCTCCTTTAATGGTCACCCAAAAGATCAACTTTAAGTTTCTAAATAGATAGAGTATCTCACATTAGCTTGATACTGCTCCAGAATCACATGACCTGGAAATTCAGGCTCAGGCACAGAGGCAAACTTCTTGATAATGTCTTCAAGAGCTTGGAGACCAGCCATCCGCAGCTGGTTGCTATGATCAGTTGCGGCCATGAATGCCATGCGAATCAGGTCAGAGAGATGAAGTACTAACAGGTCATCTAAAAATAAAAACAGAAGGCAAATAAGAAAAGTTTTCTAAAAGTGTAACATGTAAAAATATAAAACTTGAAATAAATATCTGACAAAAGCCTTATGATCCAAAAAAAAAACCCAAAAAACCCTTATGATCCATATATTTTTATTGTGTCAAAAATAACAAAGATACACTTTCAAGAAAATTTTCATATGAAACTTTTAAGAACACTGGCAAACCTTTCTTTGCACAATATTGACAATGTAGATGAAGCTATAGATGCATGTTGTTAGGTGTCACTGAGTCGGTTCTGACCCACTGGGGCCTTGTATAGGGTTTCCGAGGAATGGCTGGTGAACTTGAACTGCCAACCTTGTGGTTCAAATCAACTTTGCAGTCCAGTGCATTAACCCATTGTTGTTGTTAGGTGCTACTGAGTTGATACTGACCCACAGTGACCTTATGCACAGCAGAACGAAACACTGCCCGATCCTGGGCCAACCTCACTATTGTTGCCGTGTTTGAGTCCATCGATGCTGCCACTTGGCCAATCCATCTTGTTGGGGGTCTTCCTCTTTTCCTCTGACCCTCCACTTTACCAAACATGATATCCTTCTCCAGTGACTGGTCCCTCCTGACAATATGTCCAAAGTATGTGAAATGAAGTTTGGCCATCTTAGCCTCCAAGGAGCACTCTGGCTGCTCTTCTTTCAAAATGGATCTATTGGTTCCCTAGGCAGCCCATGGCACTTTCAATATGCTCCTCCATCACCATACCTCAAAAGCATCAATTCTTCTATGGTCTTCCTTATTCACTGTCCAGCTTTTGCATGCATATGAGGTTACTGAAAACACCATGGCTTAGGTCAGGCGCACCTTAATCCTCAAGCTGACATCTTTGCTTTTCAACACTTTCAAAATGTCTTATGCAGCAGATTTGCTTAATGCAGTATGTTGTTTGATTCCTTGACTGCTGCTTCCCTGAGTGTTGTTAGTTGATCCAAAAAGAATGAAGTCCTTGACAACGTCAATCTTTTCTCTGTTGATAAGAATGTTAATTGGTCCAGTAGTGAGGATTTTTGTTTTCTTTACATTAAGATGTGTGACAGCTAAACTAAAATAATTATCTTCACTTTCCCCAAATTAGCTTGCAAATCTTTTATGACAGGGCTATCAAAGTTTTCTACAAAGAATCAGATAGTAAATGCTTTTGGCTTTTCAGGCCATATGGTTTCTACAACTCTGCTTTTTTATTATGAAAACAACTACAGACAATATACAACTTGGTGTGCTTATGTTCCAATAAAATTTTATTTAATACAAAAGTTGGTGAGTCGGATTTGGACTGCAGGCTGCAGTTTGTCAACACCTACTTTAGGAAAACTCAGATTCATATTCAGGTAATGTAAACCCACCTCATAAGAAGAAAATTACTTTTCTGAGCATAACATATGGAAAAGGGAAATATTTTTCTTTTAGCCCTTAAGGTTGTACTGGATATGCCATAACAAACTTAAAAGCAAACCTTGAAAGAATCAATGCAACTTAGTTATATTCCAGGAGAAAGTTCAACACTACTTAAAGGAATACAACAAAATCCAGCACTAACATCATAACATTAACAACGTCTGCCATATCATAAATGATCACATTGTTGTTGTTGTTAAGTGCCGTCAAGTTGATTCCGACCCATAGCGACCCTGTACAGGGTTTCCGAGGCTGTAAATCTTTATGGGAGCAGAACGCTTCATCTTTCTCCAGTGGAACAGCTGGCAATTTCGA